TATACACTTCTGTGGTTCCGTGTGGTCTGGAAAATAAATACAAAGAATGATGTAAAAGGACTGTACAAATGGTGAAATAAATATGCAAACATTAGAGACTATGCAAAAAACAAATATATTCCCAAATGATGCACATTCAAGGGTTACACAGAGTAAATACCGTGACTTCCAGCCTCAGAGGCACTGACAAATTATATGATCTCCAGGGACCTCTGGTGTCAAACCAAGGTACTGCTGTTGCAAGTACCACACTACTAAGCCATGCTGCCAATTAGCCTGGCATTATACCACACCTCAACTGAACTGACGTCATGGATGGATACACATGGAGTAAATGGAATAAAACTCAAATTAACCAGTATTTAGCACACATAACACAAATTAAGAGAAGTGAAATGCAGACTACAAGCGAGAATAGCAACTGATACCAATTAAACTGTAGGAACTCCCTCTAAATAATCCAAACAACATGTCCAGACAGGCAGAGGATACTGAATGAACTTATAGGTTATTTATGTATCCATAGAGGTGCTACGGTTGGCCAAACTTACATATCAGTCATGAACGCACACGAGGCTGTCTGCCATCACCAACAGCTTGGACAAAATGGTAGAAACAGCTTTACAGGAAGTGACTATCTAGAGGAAGTGATGTCACAAACTGGACCACCAAAATAAGAGTGGGGTAACTTTACAAATGGATCTTGTAGAACTGCCATAACTATAACCCTTTCTGACAACTCCAGCGCCATGCTAAGTCTGACCTACAAACGTTGCAGGTAACGAATGTCTTCGCCTGATTTAACTGAAAATGCTCCCAAACTTTAGAAGTTTTTACTTGTTTTGGGTCTCGCTGCTTCTGCCATGTTCCTCTTCCAAACACCTGCCGGCTCTCCGGTCTGCGCGCAACGGCAAGGGGGGGGGGGGGGGGGGGGGGGGGGGCTTTTGGAAGAGTTGTGCAACACAACGAATCGATGACGCAATTCGTTGCCAACGCTTTTAGTAATCGGTTTCATCGAATTTATCGATTCGTTGTTGCAGCCCTACTTCCTGATCCACTTCTCATCCTCGTCCTTTTTTGTCCGGTTTTTAGAGCGAGGTCGGTTTACTGGACAGCGTTGTCAGTCCGTCACCTTCCTGGTAACAGCTGTCTGGAAACACGACCTTGTAAACTTCCTCAACAGAAACAAGCTGCATAGGCTTGTTTTGTCTTTACTCCTCTGTCTTTTTTCTGCTGTTTACACAAATAAATCCAGGAAATCTTCTAGAACAGATGTAAACAGATCAGTTAGGAGTGTCTCCGCTCATTCCAGTCATTACAGCAGTGGAAGCTCACAGCTGGAAATGTTACTGCGTGGCGTTTGGTCTTAGGGCGGAGAGGATCCTCAACAACATTTAGACAGACGAGCCTCCTTCATGTGTGTTTTTCAACATATCCGTTAATCAGTCAAGCGAGTAGAAAGCCACAGGTAGAATTATTAGTAACAGGCAAACAGAAATAACTGCTAGATTCCCACAATCTTCCTTAGTGGAGTCTTCAGGAGAAATTAGAAACCGCCTCGAATATTTCTGCACAAATAGAAATCATGCATCATTTGGAGTTTGGATTTTCTGCATCGTTTACGCAGATGCACGAGATGAAAGTACTCTTTAACTGGGAAGAAACGCCAAATTTGTGAGATTTGTTTCCATTAGGTCTAAGAATAAAGATCTATACATCCGTGTTCATAACTAAGCACAACAGTGGCAGTTTTTCCCATATTTGTAGGAAAAGATTACAAAAATGTCCAAATTAAACATAAATGTGGTTTAATGCACCTGAATGTTTATAATGTTATACAAATGCATCAGGGAGTTGGTCATAAATAACCTGTAAGGTAAAAATATGGTTTTTTACTTTTGTAACTTGCCCTGGGATGGACTGGCTCTCTGTCCAGGGTGTACCCCGCCTGACTGCCCGTTGACCGCTGGAGATAGGCACCAGCCCCCCGCGACCCTACGTGGACAAGCGGGTTCAGACAGTGGATGGATGGACTTTTGTAACTTTAGTGAATCTTACTCCAGTTTGGCTCAGACGTGTAAAAATGTTCTGTTTGCCGGACAGTTGCACAGAAAAACCAGGGGGCGAGTAAACTCCGATCATCAGTAAAACTGCATTTCAAGCATTCATAGGTTACAAGAGTCTTTTTGAAAAGATGGGAGACAATTATTTTCGTTCTGCTGTTTAAATTGAAAGAGCTGCTCGCGTAGCTCCAGAGGGCTGCAGAGCTGCTCGCGCGGCTCCAGAGGGCTCCAGAGCTGCTCGCGCGGCTCCAGAGCTGCTTGCGTAGCTCCAGAGGGCTCCAGAGCTGCTCACGCGGCTCCAGAGGGCTCCAGAGCTGCTCGTGCGGCTCCAGAGGGCTCCAGAGCTGCTCGCATGGCTCCAGAGCTGCTCACGCGGCTCCAGAGGGCTCCAGAGCTGCTTGTGCGGCTCCAGAGCTGCTTGCGTAGCTCCAGAGGGCTCCAGAGCTGCTCGCGCGGCTCCAGAGCTGCTGACTATAAAACGAGTTAAAGCGATCCGTTAATGAAGGACAGATTGGCCAGGACTCCCTTCAAAAGGAGGTTTTTAGTCTCAGTGGGACCTTCTGGGTTAAATAAAGAACTTGGGCTGCACAATATATCGTAAATATATCGTTATCGCGATATCAGCATGAGCAATATCGCAAAGACCTGTCAGCTCAGACGTTTGCTGCACATGATGCATTCTGCCAATCAAATGGAAGTATTACGTTTTTTACTAATAAAATAGAGCTCTTCACCCATTTGGCCAATTGGGTGGGTTTTCATAGGTCAGAGTCCCGCCCCCGAGGCAGACGATGGTTAGCTTAGTTCTGCTTTTCCCGGGATCCACTGATCGCATTTTCTTGTTCATTTTCATTTTCCTCACAATTTCTCATTTTTATGATTTTTTTATTTCTTTGCTTTTGATTATTTTTGTTCCTGAGTTAAGTTTTTATTTTTCGCAAGTAATATCGTCATCGCAATATTAATCGCTGTTATTGAATATCGCAGGTTTTCCTGATATCGTGCAGCTCTATAAAGAATAAATACATTTATAGATAATTCTGCCATTAAGGTGCTTATTGCTGTCATTTCTTTTTCATCTAAGAATTCACTTTTCTCTCAGCTGAAGGACGACCCGTAACGTTTTCCCAGACAGAACCGATCCATCCATCTTCGTTGTGTCTGCTCGTCTCAGCCTCCCTGCACAGTCGAGGCTTTCTGTTCTCCTCGCCAACAGTTCCTCCATTCATCTGCCTTCTCTCAGCCTTTGTCTTACTCACACACTCACACACACACTCACACACACACACACACACACACACACACACACACACACACACACACACATACACACACACACACACTCACACACATACACACACACACACATACACACACACACACACACTCACACACTCACACACTCACACACACACACACACACATACACACTCACACACTCACACACACACGCACACACACACACACGCACACACACACACACGCACACTCACACACACAAACACACACACACACGCACACACGCATACACACACAACACACACACGCACACACACACACACACACGCACACACACACACACACACACACACGCACACACACTCACACACACTCACACACACGGCACACACAAACACACACACACACTCACACACACACACACACGCACACACACATACACACAAACACACACACACATACACACAAACACACACACACATACACACAAACACACACACACGCACACACACACTCACACACGGCACACACAAACACACACACACACACACACACACACACACACGCACACACACACACACACACGCACGCACGCACACACACACACACACAGCTCACACACGCACGCACACACACACACACGCACACACACACTCTCACACACACACACTTTTCGCAGTAGGTCAACAAATCCACCCTCTTATCTGTAAATGAGTCGTGAACAAAAGCGGTTGAGTCGGAGATGAGCACATAGAGGTCAAAGTCCGTCACATTAACCCTTCTGCTTCTCATCATTCAGCCACTGATGGTATATCGCCCCCCCATGTTAGAAACGTGTCTCTGCACTCCAGTCCAACATCTGGTTTCTGTTTTTCAGGAGATGTTTGTGTTTCTGAACAAGAAGAATCTCCGCCAGTACATTTATAAGGTGAAGTATTCTAGTTTGACTTCATGTAAACAAACATCTGCTGCAGCTGCGGTGAAACGGTCTCATGAGCTGCTGTTTATTTCAGAACATCATCCTCAGTTCTGGTCTGGTCCAGGATGAGATGGCCCACTACCTCTACGTCCTCCAGTCAGTCACTCTGAATAGCTTAGAGGTGCGCATGAGGATGCCTCTGGACTGTTACAGCCAAGTAAGACACAACTTCTCCTTTAACCATGTAAACCTCGTTCGTGTCTTTTTCATTTGCACCAAAAGTGTCTTCATCTTCTCTGC